CACTGAGGGTTGCGATCCGTTGCAGGTCACGAAAAAAGACAAAAAGGAAAAAAAAAAATCCTCAAGATGAGAATACAGTTGCTGGCTGTCATCAAGAAGAAAAGTTTCCTGGAACTCTAAATATACTCTAAATAAGTCTTCTTTGAATATATTCAAGAGGAATATTCCTCAAAAGAAACTCTGGGGAAATTGGTAAATCTGGCCCAATGGTCATTGGGTGTGTAAATCCTCAGCAATTTGGCTTCTGGCAAATTGATTTTCAGCAGATGGACTGTCTTCTGCTGTTCCACCCTAAATAAGTCACCGACCCCCATTTGGCCTCAGTTTCCCCTTCTAAACAATGTGGGGTTGGCCAAGCTGATGGCAGCATATTCATGTCTTCAATGCCAGGGGACCCCCTGCATCCATGCCTTGCCCCGTGCTTGGCGCTGGGGGAGGTGAGAGTGGGGGAGGCAGGACACTAGCTCTATCTTACTGGCCTGACCCGTTGCTGCAGGAGGTGAGGGGGCGAGGCCTTATCTGCAAGGCTGTGTTATCTAGCAGGGAGGATTGGGACCCCCAGTTGTGAAATGACCAGGAGTCTCCAGCCCTGGTGAGACCTGTCACAGGTAGGGCAGGAAGTAAGACTGGCCCTGCACGTTCTCATCTCTTTGTCTCTTAAAGAACAGAAAGGGGCACCCTATTGAGCTGAAATGCAGGCTTGTTCAATCTTTGGGCAAGTGAATCCCTTCTCCAAGCCTCAGTTTCCCCATCTGTGGAATGGGGACAGTCATCCTCACTCCACGAGGACACAGCTGATGCCACCCAGCTCCATCTGGGGGTCCGGAAGGGATGATCAAGACCCTTGAGTCCAATTCTCTTATTTTAAGGGTGGGAAAACTGAGGCCCAGAGAGGGACAGCAAGGTGCCCAGGGCAGTGCAGCAAGGCGGAAGTGAAGCCAAAACCCCACCTCCCCCAGCCAGGCCTGCGCTGCCCTCACATACCTGACACCTGGTTGCTGTCCTCATCTCGATAGCGCACGACATATTCCTTCAGGACACCAGGACAGGCACTCAGCGGGGACGGCATCCAGTCCACAGACACCGAGTTCAGGCTGTGATTCTTCACCGAGACATGGTGCGGGGTCCCCGCCACTGAGGCTGCAACCAGCACCGGTGCCACAGTCAACCCCAAGAGCACTGGTTGAGCACTTCCTGCATGCTCGGCTTGGCACTGCCCGGAGAGAGGGGCAACCTTGGCCGCAGAGTCAGATGGTCCTGGATTCAAATCCCAGCTCTACCACTCACTCACTGACACTTCCTCTCTCTGGGTCTTAGTTTTCTTATCTGTAAAATGGGGCAGTGCTGCTCAGGGTATCTTTGGAGTTCACCGAGCTGACTTCCACATGCCAGACTTCTGACCAGAGCCTGACATGCAGTAGGTGCCTCTAAATGCTCATTCCCTCTTCCTGACACCCAAGGCTATGGCCGAGTCCTCGTGGGAGATACATCTGCAGGTTTGGGACACTCACCATTGCCCCCAAAGTGGTAGGTGGACAGGACCGTAGACCATGAGGTGGGCTTCTCTGGGTGTGCGGAGGCGAAGATGGTGATGCGGTAACATTCCTCCTGCCCCATTGCCCCAGATGCTCGGCTCCAGCTGTGGGTTGCTGGAAAGAGGACAAGAAGTGGCCACTAAACAGATCGTGTTCTCACCTCTGCACCTTTGTGCCAGCTGTGCATCTGCCAGGAACTCCTGGAGGGCTCCTATTCATGTTTCAAAACCCTTGCACAAATGTCCCTCCTCCAGGATCCCTTCTCTGTGCAATGCCCTGAGCCCGTCCCCAGCCCCTCCAGCCCAACCCTTCCTCCACGGGGCCAGGGTGTCTACATCAGCTCTGCCTCCTCAGCCTAGGAACTCCCCAAGGAACAGGCTGAGGCTGAGGCCGAGGCCGAGGCCTCCTGGGGCTCTGGCCAGGCACAGGGCAGGAAGTGGGAGCACTAGAGACTGCCTGCGCCACATGCCCCCCTTTCCCTCCAGAGTCCTCATTAATTTGCCACCAGTATCTTGCTATCTGCCACCTTCCCTGGTGCAAGCAGATATTTAACAAACACACTCGGATGTGAGACTCATTACCCAACAAAGTGCAACCTGCCCAGGGCTGAGCCCAGGATGCCAGCAAGAGGCTCCAGACCTGCATGGGTGAGAATCCAAGTCTCAGCCTGTCCCCACCTCTGTGTGACCTTGAGCAAATGCCCATGCCTCTCTGGGCCTTAGACACCCCATATACACAGTCCCTGTAGGTTTGAGCCAGGCAGGAGCTGTAATGGGGGACACAGGCAGAGGCCAGGTGACTAACATTACTGTACCCATTCCAGCTGGGTCCTGGTTCTTGGGTGCAGTCAAAGTGCAGCTGACGACGCTCCCATCCTGGCCCTGGGGCTGCCACTCAATGCAGTACGTCGTGCCCTGAGCCCGGGCTGGCCAACGCATGGTGGTCCCATCGGCTCCAATGCTGATATTGAGCATCCCTGTTTCTGGAAGGAGATGGGAGAGTCACAACAAGACAGTTGCCTGCAGTGCCCCCTCCCCAGGCTCCTGCAGCCCCCATCCCATCCTCTTGCATCTGGCTCTCTCCCCACGCTGGGGGCTCCTTGTGGGCTGGGCACAAGAGGAGCAGGAGCGGGTGTTTCAATGGGCTGAGTCCTCTTGCAGCCTAACCGTGGGCTCCCTGCCAGGACGTCTGCCATTAGCACTCCCTGCACTGCCACCACTCCCCGCTCCAGCCTGGTGAGCGTCTCCTGCTGCAGTAAGTGCCTGGCCACTCAGTGCTTGCCTGCCCACAGAGGGTGTGGTGCAGGACCAGGCCTCCCCGGCTGGACAGGACCCACCAGTGGTCTAATGCCAGGCTCAGAGGCACAAAGACACACCCATTCAGTCTCTGGGCACCTCTCTCCTACTCCCTACAGCAAGGGTGCCTGCAACAATATCAGAGAGGTGGGTACTGCTCCCAAGCCTGGGGACAGCAATTACTATTTATTGAGTGCCAACTGTATCTACCAGGCTAGTGCCAAACGCTTCCCAGGTGCTGCTTTGCTATGAAGTGGGACCATAATCACCCCATTTTACAGATACGAAAACTGAGGCTCACAGAGGGAGAGCCAGAGGCCCTAGGCCACCCAGCAACGCTATGGCCCAAACCACGCTGGGGCTAACCGACTGGCTGCCATGCCACCCTGGCAAGTGGCTTCATCTGTCTGAGCCTCAGTTGTCTCATCTGTAAAATGGGCTTCACTGTGACACCCTCACAGGATGGCTGGGTGCTCGGGCACAAAATTCAAGGGGGCACCAAAAGCACGGTCATCAGGATAAACAATGTTTTAATGTAATGTATTTTTAAATTAAAATAAATGCAAGAACGTATGATGAGCATTATTCACAACAGCCAGAAGGTGGAAATGTCCAATCAACGGAGGACTAAATAAACACAATGTGGTCCGTCCACACAGTGGAATATTACACAGCCATAAAAAGAAAAGAAGCACTGACACATGCTGCAACATGGATGCAACAAGAAAACATGCCCAGTGAAAGAAGCCAGACGTGAAAGGACATATGTTGTATGATTCCATTGATACAAAATATCCAGAACAGACACATCCAGAAAGAGAAAGCAGATTAGTGGTCGCCAGGGGCTGGAGGAGGGGAATGGGGAGCGACTGCTGATGGGGACGGGGTCTCCTTTTGGGGGGATGAAAATGTTCTAGAACTAGATAGAGGTGACAGTTACACAACATTGTAAATGTGATAAATGCCACTGAATTGTGCACTTTAAAATGGTTACTTTTGCTTTGTGAATTTTAGCTCAATAAAATATATACATATAAAACAAAATATCAAGATTTTAAATAAAAACAGTATCAACCCTACCCTATACTTGCATGATCCTGCCTTACTTGCCTCACCCCAATCCTGGCCCAGGTCCCAATAAAACTTTATTTGCAAAAAACAGGTGGCTGGCCCGGGCTGTCATTTGCCAGGTGGAGTTTTTTAAAAATATTGCGTGTTAACATTATGTATCTGGATTACTGAGTTTTGACACACCCCTAAATTAAACACCTCCTTAAATTCTTCTGCCTGACTTGCCTCTGCGTGGTCTAGCTGAGAATCAGAGGAAGTGCTCGGCTCCAAGGGGCCCTCCCGCAACCTTCCCCGCCAGGCGGAGGCACCTGTGTGGGCATAGGCAGGAATGTGCCACGTCTGGTTGGGGCCGGGGCCAAAGCGATTCCAGGAGATGACAGTCACATCATAGGCAGCACCCGAGAGGAAGAGAATTTTCCCCAGGCGCAGGGTCCTCTTGGCGTTGGTCTTACACAGGCAGGACAGCATGTGCAGTTGGACGCGGTAGGTCACCTTCACGTCAGGTGAGGGCCCGTGGCAGCCTTCTGGAAGCTCGAGCTGAGGTGGCTGTCATGAGTACAAGATGGCTTGTGGGCACCTGAACATGCTCATCATCTCGTGGGCAGACATCAGGACACAGCCTGTGAGGACAGACTTGCCCGAGGGCCACAGCAGAATACACGTGCCAAAAATTTAAAGAACCATGAACCTCAGTGCTGGCAAAGAAACTGGCATTCACATCTAGTGCACATTGGTTTTGGAGGGAAAACCTGATAAAACCCACTGTGATCCAGGAGGAAAAAGAAAAGTTTCCATCTTTGGAGCCAGCTACCTCAAGCCTGGAAATTTTTCCTAAGAAAAGGAATTTGAATTAGAGGAAATGGGAAGTGGAGGAATTTTGCTACAGCCTCAGAGAGACAGCACACTAGAGATCTGGCTAAGTCAACTATGGTGAAGCCAATGGGTGGAATATTTGCCCCCGGCAGAGACTTTCCCTCTGTGCCTCAGTTTCCTTCTCTGTAAAAAGGGACTAAGTAGGCTGTACTTTATGGGATCTTTGGGGGATTTAAAATAATAATCTCCCATCTGGGCGAGCATAGTCACTGTCACCTTTTTCCTGGCCTCCTGGTGTCTGCCCAATCCCCCCACAATCTGTTCTGCACACAGGAGCCAGAGGGAGCCTATGAACACCTGAGTCCAGCCATATCCCCCCCCTGCTCACACACACTCCATGGCTCCCTAGTACCTTTGCAGTTAAACCCACAATCTGCTCAGTCTCTGCCACCTCCACATCTCACCTTGCTCATCCTCCTCCAGCCTTTTGTCACCTGCTCCCCATCTCAGGCCACCCCACAGTCCTGCGATGACCCCATTACCTGCCCATGCAGGGTCAGCCTCCTTCTCCCATCCTGGCCCAGCGGCTCCACCAAGAACTTCACCTCGGGCTGTTGGAGGGTTTCTGCACCGAGAACAAAACCAACCGGATGAATTGGAAGGAGAGAAAGACTCAGAGATGTCTGCTTGGTAAATTATGTTTCTTTTTTTTTTTTTTTTCTTTGTAAGTTATGGGTTTGCCACATTCACAAAGTGAAATTTGCTTGCTGCCCTGAATGCAGATAACAGAGAGAAACAGGAAGGGGAATCGGCCCCGCTCATACCCCATCCCCATGGAATAGTCAGAGGTGATTTCGTGCTGCCCAGGTTTTTCTTTAAACACAAACATATTTTTGGCACAGTTTGAAACCCCATTACTCATTTCCCAATAGTCCAGGGTTAGGGGCAGCAGCCCGTTTAACCACTCCAGGTGGGTGGCATTGTCCTCAAGACACTGACATTGACCCCGAGCCCCACCCTAATGGTCCCCACTTCATAAAGCCCAAAAGAGGGTGCAGGGAAGCCCAGGTGCCATATTATGAACGTTTTGAGTGCTTATTTCTCCCGCTACCTTATTTCTAACACCCATCGCCTTATGTCTAACATCGCCACCTTGTTTCTAATACTTGCTGCCTTCTTTCTTTTTTTTCTTTTTTCCCCAGCAACTAGCTGATACAGGATCCAAACCTACAAGCTTGGTGTTATCAGGCTGCGCTCTAACCAGACGAGCTAACCGGCCAGCTCTGCCTTATTTCTAATGCCTGCCCCTGCTCTTGTGGCCCAGGGTGCTCTCACCAGGGGGGACGCACACAGGGCTGCTCCAGCTGCTCCAGGGACCTCCCGGGGTCCCTGGCCTGAGCTGCTGCCGCCGTCGTAGCTGGAATTCCTGGGCCACATTCATCTCCACGGGGCAGAGGCAGGATTCTGGAGAGAAGCAGGTCAAACATCAGGTCATGGGGGTTGCCCAGAGCTTGGCACTGGTCACTTAGTTATTAAGCATTTATTAAGTTCCTACTGTGTACAGAGCCAGGTGATGGCTCCTGTCCTCTTGGGGTCTCCAGGATCACCCACTTCTATCCCTGTCCTGGGTTCTAGTCCCCACCATGCCACCCTTGCATTGTGACCTTGACCAGTGGCTTACCCCCCAAGCCTTGGATTGTTTCCTCACCTGCAAAATGGAAATAATCCAATACCAAAGTACAGGGTGGGGCAACAGGCACACAAATAATTTAGCATTGGGCCCAGCATACAGTAGGTGCTCAATTAATGCTAACTTGCTGAAGCTGTTGTGGGGGTTGCTGTTACTATCATTATTCTCACCTAAGTCAGTATCATCCTGAGGTCTGCAGACGCCCTAGAAGGAGACCACATATCAATTGTTTTCACACTTTGGTGCTGAAAGATATTCACTGTTTTGAAATTTTTTTTTAAATTATTTTACTGAGTGCAGTGTGAAACCCTGGATTGGATCCAGGAACAGAAAAAGGGCATTCATGGGAAAATGGGTGACATTCAAATCATGTATGGAGTTTATGTAAGATATTAACATTAGTGAAAGGTGGATAGAGTGTACAGGAGCTCTCTGTCTTTCTTTGTAACTTTCCTGAAAATCTGAGATTAATCCAAAATAAAAAGCTTACTTTAAAAAATTATTTTAGGAAGCAAAATAGTGACTTCAAAACCTGTCTGTCTGGGGTGTTGGAGCCCGTCTGCTCCTCACTCCCTGGATGACCCTGAACATGCTCCTGAATGACCTGAGCCTCAGTTTCCCTGTCTGCAAAGAAGGCTGTTGAGGGCATGTGGTGGAGTGTTCTTAGGGGGCTGCAAATAAAACATAAAGAGATGCCCCTTCTCATCAGGGGTCCCATGTCACCTGCCCTTGGCTGATCTCATGCCCATTTACCTGATGGGATAATTGAGGCTCCGGGAGGGGCACAATACTTGGACAGAGGACGGGGCTGAAGCTGAGGCAGCTCCTTGCCTTCAGGATGTTCCCAGTTTGAGGGAGGAGGAGACCGGCCACAATTCAGAGGCTGGGGCCTCTGTATCCCCCAAACTGGGGACTCCTTGGTCATCAGATTAGGGCTGAGGTTATTTGCAAACTCAGATTTTCTCTGCCTGGAGGTAACAGAGAGTAGCTGCAGAATGAATGAATAAAAGAATGGATGAATAGAAGAATGCAGGAAGAAGAATCCTTCCTGGAAGAAGTGGCCCTTCAGCTAGACCCTGAAGGCTGGGCTCGATTTGGAGAGGAGAACATGCAGGTGGAGGAAACTGCGTGTGCAAAAGAGGCTGGAAATTCAGGGCATGGGCAGAGAATGGCAGCCATTCGGGAACAGGATCAGAGGAAGCATGAGGCAGTGGAAGGGAGCTAATGGTGAGGATGCCCTCCTGAGGGTAATGGGGAGCCATGGAGGGTGTGTGAGCAGAGGAGGTCACAATCAGACCTGAGTGTCAGAAGGACCTCAGGGGCTAGACCCTGAGCAAGAGTGGGCAGGTGGGAGGTGTGACATGTAGACGTGGTGAGACTGACTTGGGGGTGGTGAGGATTCCCTGAGAGAGGCTGTATTTCCCCCTGACCTGGGAAACAAACTCACCAACTTCCATGGGCTGCTGGGTGTCCGGTGCCGGAACTGTACCTCAGCACCGTGCTGGTGGTCTGGGGTCTCCCACTCCATCCGCAGCTGCCCCGCTGACCTGGACACTTTGATGTCTCCCAGGGGAGGATTATATTTAACTGGAAGCAGATAAAGGAGGAGCAGCCTGCGTGGATATGACTGGATGGGTCCTGAAAATTCCAGAAAATCATGTCCCTCCCAGCCCCCAAACATGAATCAGGGACACCCTTGCAGGTCACAGCTAAGCCTGGTATTCTATGATTCAATGAGTCAACACTTATTCACAGGATCCTGTTAGTGAAGATATCTTTAAAATATTAATACCCATTGCTGGCAAGGCTGTGGTGAGACAGGCACTTTTGCAAATTACTGGCAAGTGGGCTCGATTTGGAGAGGAGAACATGCAGGTGGAGGAAACTGCGTGTGCAAAAGAGGCTGGAAATTCAGGGCATGGGCAGAGAATGGCAGCCATTCGGGAACAGGATCAGAGGAAGCATGAGGCAGTGGAAGGGAGCTAATGGTGAGGATGCCCTCCTGAGGGTAATGGGGAGCCATGGAGGGTGTGTGAGCAGAGGAGGTCACAATCAGACCTGAGTGTCAGAAGGACCTCAGGGGCTAGACCCTGAGCAAGAGTGGGCAGGTGGGAGGTGTGACATGTAGACGTGGTGAGACTGACTTGGGGGTGGTGAGGATTCCCTGAGAGAGGCTGTATTTCCCCCTGACCTGGGAAACAAACTCACCAACTTCCATGGGCTGCTGGGTGTCCGGTGCCGGAACTGTACCTCAGCACCGTGCTGGTGGTCTGGGGTCTCCCACTCCATCCGCAGCTGCCCCGCTGACCTGGACACTTTGATGTCTCCCAGGGGAGGATTATATTTAACTGGAAGCAGATAAAGGAGGAGCAGCCTGCGTGGATATGACTGGATGGGTCCTGAAAATTCCAGAAAATCATGTCCCTCCCAGCCCCCAAACATGAATCAGGGACACCCTTGCAGGTCACAGCTAAGCCTGGTATTCTATGATTCAATGAGTCAACACTTATTCACAGGATCCTGTTAGTGAAGATATCTTTAAAATATTAATACCCATTGCTGGCAAGGCTGTGGTGAGACAGGCACTTTTGCAAATTACTGGCAAGAGGATAATTGATTCTATTTTTCTGAAAGACTCAGGAAAATCGTACTAATTTTTTTTTTTTTGATGGATGGCCAGTAGCAGAATCTGAACCCTTGACCTTGGTGTTAAAATACCCTCACTGTAACCAACTGAGCTAAGCAGCCAGCCCTGGTCACCCAACAACATGATATTATTAATTATGGTTCTCTTACTGTATGATAGAACTCTAGACTTAATTATCTGATATAACCGCAAATTTGACCTGCATCTCCCCATTTCCTCCCCCTCCTACCCATAACCACCGTTCTACTCTCTATTTCTACATATTCAACTTTTTTGTTTTAGATTCCACATATAAGCAAGATCATGCAGTATTTTTGTTTCTGTGTCTGGCCAATTTCATTTAGCATAATGTCTTCCGAGTTTATTCCTATTGTCACAAATGGCTGGATTTCCTCTTTTGTAAGGCTGAATAATATTCCATTGTGTGTATACACATATAGTATTTTCTTTATCCATTCATCACTTAGGTTGTTTCCATATCATAGCTATTGTGAATAATGATACTATGCCTGATTCTACCTCAGGGCCTTTGCATGTGCTGTACTCTCTGCCTGGAACACACCTCTCCACCTTTATTCCTGCTGGATACATTCACAATATAATTTTATTTATTTATTTTTTTTTTTTGTTTGTTTGTTTGTTTTGGTGGCTGTCAGGTACAGGGATCAAGCCCTGGACCTTGGTGTTATCAGCACCATGCTCTAACCTTCTGAGCTAACTAACCGACCAGGCCTCCTGCTGGATATGTTTTATATCTTTCAGAGCTCAGCTCAAGCTGGAGACCTCCCTGACCTTGCACCACATGTAATGATCATGCCTTGTCCATATCCCCACTTGAATTTGGTCTCTACAAAGTGGGGCCAGGACCAGGATTAGTATTGGATGGTTGAGGCAAGGTATATATATATATATATATATAGAGAGAGAGAGAGAGAGAGAGAGAGAGAGAGAGAGAGAGCATTGATTTTTTATTTTTTTATTTTTATTTTTTGGCAGCTGGTCAGTGCGGGGATCCGAACCCGTGACCTTGGTGTTATAAGGTGATTTTTTATTTTTTTTTTTGTCCTTTTGAGACTGGCCGCACTGTGCTCAACCAGTGAGCGCACTGGCCATCCCTATATAGGATCCGAACCCGCGGCGGGAGCGCTGCTGCACTCCCAGCACTGCACTCTCACGAGTGCGCCACGGGTTCGGCCCTAAGGTGATTTTTTAAAATATTGTTTATATTGATTGCTGAGTTTTGGGACACCCCCTTAAATTTCATTCCTAAGGCCAGAGCCTCACCTAACTGACCCTAGTCCCAGGCCTGCCACCTGATCAGCCTTGCCCTCATCCCCTGTGACTGAGAGTGGCACACAGTAGTAGCTCAACAACTATATGACAGACACATGGTGCTGAGTCATGAAAGCAGGTATTAAAGACACAGCAGGGTCCCGGCAGCCTTGTGGATATCAGGAAGAAACTGGAAGTAACCTAAGTGCCCATCAATAGGGGATTAGTAAGGGGACCATGAAAGACTGCCATGTCACACAGCAATATTTGATGTGACAACATCTGACACTGTCAAGCTCCTTGCCAGGGACCCAGAATACCCCCAGGTCTAAGCTTGGGGACTGGAGGCTTTTCTGTATGACAAAGGGACAGGAAGGAGAAGAGGGTTCTGACCCAAGCTGTAGAGCTGCAGGGTGACCTCAGGTGACTTCTCCGTCCAGGTCTAAGCTTGGGGACTGGAGGCTTTTCTGTATGACAAAGGGACAGGAAGGAGAAGAGGATTCTGACCCAAGCTGTAGAGCTGCAGGGTGACCTCAGGTGACTTCTCCGTACGGTTTGCAGCCCAGGATTCCACCCAGAGTGTGACAGTGCGGAGCACAGACACGCCATCCTGGTCAGAGAACTGCAGCCTGGTGGCCGAGCCTGCAGTGAGGTAGCAGCAGCGTCCAGAGCTAAGGCTACAGGAGAAAGGGTGTTGGTGCTGAGACTGGGGTATTAATGGACCCCAGAGTCTCAGCAACCACAACAGACATTGTGCATCACAGTCTAGTATTCTTTTCTGCCCCTTTTGCCCCCCATCCCCTAGCCCAGGTGCTCCTTAGGGATCAGCCTGGGACTGAGGGTGTTTGAGGGGCCCCAGAATCTCCCAATACGGGCTGCCACACAGCGAAGGAAGAAAGGGATGGATGGATAAATGAGCAAGGCAGCGAGGATAAGGAAGGACTAGAGCGACCCTCATAACCACTCACCTTGGACTGCCCCTTCATGCTGGCCCACCACAACCCCCCAGTCCTCCCTTCTTAGATAAGAAACTACTGAGGCCAGGAAGGCATAATGACCTGGCCAAGGTCACATGGCTGAGCGTGGGAACAGGAGGGGCAGGAACAAGAGTGGGATGGTAGGTGAAGATTTGGGGACCGTGGCAGGATCCTCACCAGCACCTCAGGATGTGGCTGACCCCAGCCATGGGGCCCTCGTACCGCCAGGAGCACTCGTAACTGGCACTGGATATCCGATAGCAGCTCAGGTCCCTGGGGCCCGAGACTGAGCCTGGAAGAGACCCCCTAGGTTTGAGAACAAACCAGAGTGTGGAGGGGTCTCTGCACCGACATGTCACCCCAGGACAAATCTTAGTGACACTTATGTCTTCCAGTGTCATCTCAGCCTAAACCCACTGTGGCTCCCAGCACCGTCTTTGTGTCCTCCCCACCTGCCTTCTCCCAGCTAAAGCAGCCTCCTTACCAGTCCTCAAACATGCCGGGCTCACTCCCACCTCAGGGCCTTTGCACGTGCTGTGCCCTCTGCCTGGAATGCCCTTCCCCCAGATCTTGACATTCCAGTCTCTCCTTCAGTGTCACCTCCTCGACCACCAGCCAACTCAAAGCATCCCCCTCCATCTCCATCCCTCACCCTCTTCTGTTTTCATAGCACGTTATTGTGTGCAGTTTACATGTGTGTCCTTTTTTCTTTTTTCTTTTTTGGCTGCTGGCTGGTAGCGGGATCCAAACCCGTGACCCTGGTGTTATAAGGCTGTGCTCTGACCAACTGAGTAACCGGCCAGCCCAGTTTATGCATTTGTTTCGCTGTGATCCATCTCCCCCACGAGGCTGTGTCCCTGGGAGGACAGTGGGCTCACAGCTGACTCTCTATGTCTAGAAACATGTCTGCACATAGTAGGTGCTCAGCAAATATTTGGTAAATGAAAGAATGGATAACGGGCCTGCTCAGTGCCAGACCTTTGGGCTACATTATGAGTATAAACCTTCCAGCAATGCCTGCCTTAGGGGTGACTTCAAAGTGCTTAACAGGACCCTTGTTCCACACTCCAACCAATCTGAATAGACACAGACACCAGCCCTGTGACTCTGCCAGGGAAGCAATGTGGGTCAGGGAGGTGGGTGACTTCTCCACGACACCCTGAACCCAATGAGAGTGGGCTGGCAGGTCGTGGGGTGGGGTTCCCAAGACCACAGATGGGGCTGGGTCTCTGGCTGGGCAGAGGGAGGCTGATGGAGGGGCTGCTGTTAGTGGGATCAGGTTGAGCCCAGCATGACCCTCTGCCTACAAAGAGGAACTGCCCCAAACCTGAGTCAGCATCCGGATATGGAGGGTCCTGAAAACAGCACCCACTGGTTCTGCAGGCAGCTGCAAAAGCAACATAGAGATAATGACATCCCTGATCTTACACAGTGTGGGGAGAAGGGCTCAGCCCATCCACCTACGTATCCATGCACCCATCCATCCATATATCTGTCCATCCATCCATCTATATATCTGTCCATCCATCCATCCATCTACCCACCAATCTATCCAGCCAGCCACCCTTCACTCATCCATCTATGTGTCCATCCAGGCACCACCCATTATTAGCCATTGGAGTCTGGGTAGAAATCTCGCAGTGGAGATTGACAAACATAGTTGGGGGTCCCTATGAGGAGGTCTCCCCAGCAGGAAAGAGCAGTAAGACTTGATGGCCTAGACGGAAAGAGAAGTGGGGCGTGCATGGGGTGCCACTAGCACCTAAAGCTGGTATGGAGAGAGCAAGCAGAGACCAGATGAAAGGGAGAGGCCTGCTGAGCCGGCCCACGTGAGTGCACTTGGCCCACCAGCCGTGAGGGCTATGGACAGTTCCCCAGGAGGCAGCGACCTCCCTCAGCCACTGGGTCCCTTCAGCAGTGCCAGTGTCTGCCAGGCATGGAACTGGGCGAGAGAGGAAAGGGGCTGCTATGGGTGGGATCGGGCAGGGCTCAGCACCCCCCCCCAACACATCACAAGAAAGAACTGCTCTGAGCCCTGTGGACAGATGAGAATCTTTGGGGGAGCAGGCAGTATGCCAGGAAACCCCCGCGTGGTCCAGCCTCAAGGGAAGAATGAAGCCCGGGCTCCCCATCCTTCCTTTTATCTCTGAGATAACACAGACCCACTCCCTGCAACCTGAAGCCCATCCCGCTTCTCTGTCCCTGGGCTGGCCACTCACTGCCACCGCCACTAAGCTGTCCTTTGGGTTCCTCCTCCAAAGGAATACAGGGTCCCCGTCCCCCTCTCTGCTACTGGTTTCCAGCCATGCCTGGCCCTCAAAGGTCCTGGAAGCTTGCAGAGTGTCCAGCCCTGCCCTGAGCACTTCGCATGCATCCAGTGCATCAAGCCATTTAAAGAGTCAGCACCCCACTGATTCTGTTTATAGAGAAGGAAACAGAAGCACAGAGAGGCAAAGAAGTTGCCTGAGGTCACACAGCATCAACAGCAGGGCTGGGGTTATAGTCCAGTTAACCTATAACCTAGTTAACCGCAGCGGGTCAGGTCCCTTCCCACCTGATTCCACAGGATGGAGAGAGAATTTGTGTATACATACACACATATATACACCATATTCTGTATGTATGTCTATTGTATACTACATACATAATACACAATATTATGCATGTCTATTGTATACAGACTTGCTCTTTATCCCTTCCTTAGCTGTTTTCTCATTGAACTCTGGGGGTGGGAAAGATTCAGTCCATTCCACAAAAGAGAAAATTAAGAGAAAATTGGGAGGAGAGATGCCCAAGTCTGACCCTAGAAGCCATAATCACTGACCTCCCATTTGACAGAGGGAAGGACAGGCACAGAGAGAGGGGAAAATTAAGAGAAAATTGGGAGGAGAGATGCCCAAGTCTGACCCTAGAAGCCATAATCACTGGCCTCCCATTTGACAGAGGGAAGGACAGGCACAGAGAGAGGGAACTCACCCTAGAACCCAGGTCCACAGCCCTCCACACCGCCCCACCCCCAGCAAAAGAAGCCGTGGCACCAGGGTAGGGGACTCACCACCCTGCCTGGACATCAGGAGGAGGAGGAGGGGGGCCAGCCTGGCCACTGGCCACCCCATCAGATCCACGCATATGCCTGCAGCCCTAGGGGAGCCCTTGCGCCACTGCCAGCGGGCCCCAGCCACCTCCGTCCCCGCCCCGGAACACGTTGAAGCTGAGCAAGAAAAAAGACCAAAAAAAAAAAAAAAAGCAAAATGTCACAGCCCTTCCTAGGGCTAATGAAACTGAAAGAGAAACCCAGCAAGTCAGCTCAGTGGTGGTGGCCTCACCTGGGCAGCAAACCTACCCTCGGGGCAAGTCAGACCCCGGGCCCTGCATCTAAGGGTCTGCCCTGCTGGGCCCCAGACCAGAGCACTACACTCGGGTGCCATCCCCATGGGCCACCTGCAGCTCCATGACCTTGGCCAGGTCTCTGGTCCCCTCTAGCCAGCTTTTGAGACACAGGAGCTCAGTGGAAACCCAGTGCCCTTAGATGTCTTGAAATCATTCTTCCAACAAATCACTATGAAGCACTCGTAGTACATGGAGTCCCCCCAAATGCCCACCTCCCTGTTTCCCAAACTACAGCCTTGGGCACCCTGGGTCCCAGTTCCTGAAAGATCTCCTTGTTTCCTTAAGACACAACTTAGTCTATTCTCCATGTTTCGTTTTTCAGTTTCTGGGTATCTGGGTTTCTGACCCTCTCTCCCCGCTGTCAGCAAAGTCCCACAACATCTACGGAGAATCTCTGACACATGCTATAACGTGGATGAACCTAAAACATCTGGCTGAATGAGAGAAGCCAGACACGAAAGGCCACACAGTGTGTGATTCCATTTATGTGAAATGTCCAAAATAGGCAAAATTCATAGAGACAGAAAGCAGATTAGTGGTTGCCAGAGGCTGGCGGAAGGGGGTGGGGAGTGACTGCTGATGTATGTGGAGTTTCCTTTTGGGGTGATGAGAATGTTCTAGAACCAGCTAGAGGTGGTGGTTGTACAACACTGTGAATGTGCTAAATGCCACTGAATTGTTCACTTTAAGATTTTAGGTTATGTGAGTGGCTGGCTGGTCAGCTCAGTTGGTGAGAGCATGGTGCTGATAACACCAAGGTCCAGGGTTCGAATCCTGTACCAGCCACCCACCGAAAAAAAAGATTTTAGGTTATGTGACTTTCACCTAAACAAAAAATGCTCACATAGTCCAGGGGCACTGAGGAGGGAGGGGGTCAGGGGGTCTCTCCTAGGGGAGGGCATGTGGGAAAACTGAGGCACAGGCAGGCAGGGTCAGCCCACGTGGCTCAGCCTTTGGGAGGAGGCCCCTCCTCCAAGGAGTCTGGTCCTGAGGGCAGCTGGGCCGGCCAGGGTCAGGCGCCCAGCAGGCTGTGAGGTCAGTGCCTTGAAGACAAAGAGGCAGTGTTCTGGGCCTGGCACAGAGGGGACGGGGACCCCATGACCCCACACAGAACAGCCTTCTCTGGCCACAGGGCCCAGGCGAGGGCAAGGGGGCAGGGTGGGCAGCAGGACTGATGTGCATGGCCCGGGGAGGGGGCAGAGAAACAGAGAGAGACAGAGATATGAGATACAGGGATAGAGAGAAACATAAAGATGGAAGAGATAGTTGGAAATAAGGGCAAACTCATAGCCCTCCTTGACCATCCTGACACCGTCCCCCCATTCCAGAAGACATCATCACCTGCCCCATTTCACAGATGGGGAGATGGAGCCCACAGGTGCCCAGACCACCTGAGGCCCAGCTGGAGGTGACAAGGCGGGTTCCAGCCACCCCCGGTGGGGCTGGGTTTCACCCCTCTGGCAGTGAGGCCTGTGTCCCATGGCTCCTCCACCTCCACCAAAGTTGGTCCTCGCAGGCCTCAGCTTCCCCACCTGCACAATGGGCTGTCACAAGGATGAAGGATGGAGGGCTTGGCTCGCAATGCTGCCCACCAGCCTGCAGGTATGATCAGTCACTGTGTTTGGTGCCCTCCAGTGGCCTCTGCCCTCATCTCATCTCTTTCTAAGCCCCCAAAGTCAGATGAACCAATGGGAAAACATCCAGGGAGCGAGAAACAGGGGGAAACACAAAGCTGGTCACAGACGTCCCCAGCCCCTTAAGGTAAGGGCCCGGCTGGGTGCAGGGAGGGATGGAGGCCGGGGTGCTCCAAGGTGGAGCAGGGAGGGCTGCATGGAGGAGGGGGCACTCGAGCTGGCATTTAGAGAATTAAAGGGCATGCCCGGCAGAGGCCACAGTGGTGGCAAAAGTCCAGTGGATATGCTTTGAGAAACACCACGATGGGGCCGGCCCGGTGGCGCACTGCTACAGTGCGCCGCTTGGGAGCGCAGTGGCGCTCCCGCCGAGGGTTCGGATCCCACATACAGACCGGTTCCCGCTCACTGGCTGAGCGAGGGGTGGGCGCAGCACCGAGGGTTGCGATCCCGTTGCCGGTCCCAGTCCAGTACGGGTGCGACACTGAGGGTTGCGGTCCATTGCTGGACACGAAAAAAAGACAAAAAGGAAAAAAAAAAAAAAGAAACACCACGATGAACATGGTGGGTCTGGGGCTCAATCGGAAGAAATAAACCTGGTAAAGTGGGCAAGAGCCTTGAGCACCAGGCTGAAGGACTTGACTTTCTCCAAGGGCATTGGGGAGCCATGGCAGGTGTGTAAGCGAGGTGGGGGGACTTCTCAGGAACACGTGAAGTAGCATTTCTACCCTTATTTAGGTCACAGCCTGATGTTCACCCTGAGGTTCACCACATCCCACCTCCCTTCCTCCCCCCTCCCTTGGCCTGCCTGCTGCCTACTCCAGGAGGCCCATGTGCCCCTTATTGGCCCCTTTCAGCCGCCCCAGAAGCTCAGTTAAGATAAGCTCCCAGGACTGCCCCACTTTCACATGCCCCACAGGCTGGTGGGGGGAGCAGGAAGGATGTGGTCCCAGGGGCCCTGAAGTCATGACAAGAGGAACCACAGAACTTCCCCACCCACTCAGCTTCTGCCTTAAAAAAGACAAAAAGGAAAAAAAAAAAAAAGAAACACCACGATGAACATGGTGGGTCTGGGGCTCAATCGGAAGAAATAAACCTGGTAAAGTGGGCAAGAGCCTTGAGCACCAGGCTGAAGGACTTGACTTTCTCCAAGGGCATTGGGGAGCCATGGCAGGTGTGTAAGCGAGGTGGGGGGACTTCTCAGGAACACATGAAGTAGCATTTCTACCCTTATTTAGGTCACAGCCTGATGTTCACCCTGAGGTTCACCACATCCCACCTCCCTTCCTCCCCCCTCCCTCGGCCTGCCTGCTGCCTACTCCAGGAGGCCCATGTGCCCCTTATTGGCCCCTTTCAGCCGCCCTAGAAGCTCAGTTAAGATAAGCTCCCAGGACTGCCCCACTTTCACATGCCCCACAGGCTGGTNAGAAGCTCAGTTAAGATAAGCTCCCAGGACTGCCCCACTTTCACATGCCCCACAGGCTGGTGGGGGGAGCAGGAAGGATGTGGTCCCAGGGGCCCTGAAGTCATGACAAGAGGAACCACAGAACTTCCCCACCCACTCAGCTTCTGCCTTCTTTTCAGGGATCGTGACCTGCAGCTGGAGGAAAGCTGGTCTTCCCTCCATGTGGCCAAGAGACCCTCATGTCCCCAAGGGGCATCTAAAGAGGGTGTTGGAGGACGAGTAGGAGTTTGCAAAAAGAAAATCTGTTTATTTAACAAACACACTTATAGTCACCATTCGTCAATAAGAACAGTTTTTGTCATTCAACCAGGACTTTCTAGTACCTCCAGAGGATCATTTGAAGGTGTTTTAAAGAATACACAGAAGGTTACCAAGAAAAAAGTCCATTCAACAACTACACATCCTGATGGCCCTCACTTGAGGAGTGTGAGGAGTGTTGAGGCGTGTTCAGGAGTGCTGATGGCTATGTAGAAGTCTACAAGAAAAAATGTATTTGTTTATTCAATAAATGCTCCCTGGTGCTTCTTGAAGAGAATTTGAAGTGAATTTTGAAGGATGCATAGGTGTTCATTATGGAAAATTGCATTCATGCATCCATTCATTCATTGTCAATTAATAAATACTCCCTGTTGCACATTGTGGGGTCACTTGGGGATAGAGTTCTGTGCAGGAGTTCTCCAGATGGAGCAGGGGCATTTGAGACCTCTCTGGTGGCTCTCCCACTTGCCCAGCCCAACCACCACTGGTTCAGGGAAACTCTCTTTCCCCAGTATTCCAGCCAAAATCCCAGGGGAGACTCTGATTGGCTGAGCTTGAGTCATGTGTCCACCTTGAACCAATCACAGTGGCTGAGGTGTATGAATGACCCTGGGTCACATGTCCACTCCAGCCTGGACTGAGGGAGAGCTGAACTAGCCAGAGTCAGAAGAGTTGGCCATTACAGGACCTGAGTTTCCCATCACTTGGGGTAAGCAAACAGCAACCTGAAGTTCACTTATTGTGGGGTTGTCAGATAAAACACAGGATGCCCAGCTAAATTAGGACTTCAGATAAACACCACGTAATTGTTTAGCCTAACCATGTCCCAAGTATTGTAGGGGACATATTTATACTGAAAAAATATTTATGGTTCATTGAAATTCATATTTAACAGGGTGGCTGCTTTGGAAAACAGTCTGGAAGTTTTTTACAAATTTAAAACATAAATTACCATATGACCCAGAAAGTCAACTCCTAGGTATATACCCACAAGAACTGAAAACACATGTACACAAAACCTTGTACACCAATGTTCATAGCAGCTCTATAAAGAATAGCTAAAAAAATGGAAAAAGCCAAATCAATGGATGAGTGGATAAACAAATTTGGTACATCCATACAATGGAGTATTATTTAACCATTACAAAAATGACTTACTGATAGTTGCTACAATGGGGATGAATCTTGAAAACATTACCCTGTGTGAAAGAAGCCAGACACAAAAGGCCACGTGTTATATGATTCCATTTACATGAAATGTCCAGAATAGGCTGATCCAAGCAACAGAAAGCAAATTAATGGTTTCCAGGGTCTGGGATGAAGGGAGACGGAGAGTGACTGCTGATGGGTACAGGGTTTCTGAAAATGTTCTGGAATTAGTGGTGGTGCTTACACAACTCTGTGACTATGCTTTAAAGAAAAAACACTGGACTGTACACTTTAAAAGGGTGAATGTTATGGTATGTGCATTATATGTCAATTTTTTAAATTGCATAAGAAAAATAAGTTTTCCCTCCGCTTCCTGTATTTTTACTTGCTCCATCGAGCCACCATAACTGCGTGAGATTCTACAGCATCTTGTAGACAACTGGGCCCAGTGACCTGTCCTGGGGTCCCCTCCAGCCTGAAAAAATACTCTCATGCCCAGGTTGAACAGCAGGACAGCCAAGGGCATCTGCAACTGCAGAGACAGTGGGAGTTCCAGGGAAAGAACTATCTTGGGACTTTGGGCTGCTTCCAGCCTCGGTTTCCCCTTCTGCAAAGTGGGGCCAATCACCTTCAAATACCTGTGAGAGGTGGTGCCCAGACAACATTCAGTAAAGGTAGCTGTCCTCAAAACAAAAACTGACAATGACATGGCCACCTGTTTTTGTAAATAAACATTTATTGGCACCAGGGCCAGGATTAGGGTGAGGGGAGTAAGGAAGCGCAGTGCAAGAACAAGGTCTGATCCCGGCTTTTAAATTTTGATGTTTTAGGGCTGGCGGTTAGCTCACTCAGTAGAGCATGGTGCCGATAACACCAAGGTCAAAGGTTTGGATCCCCTTACTGGCCAGCCACCAAAAACAAAGCAAAAATAAATTTTGACATTTTATTTATCATGAATGTTTTCATTTATTTTTATTTATTTGTTTTATTTTATTTTATTTATTTTGGCCGCTGGCCGATACAGGGATTGACCTTAACGATGCTCTAACCGGCTGAGCTAACCAACCAGCCCAAATTTTTGATTTTTAAAAATATTACATTAAAATGCTATTTCTTTTGATTGCTGAGTCTTGAAAACCCCCTTAAATTTTGCGCAGAGGCGAGCACCTCACTCGCCTCATCCAGTCCTGCTGTGTGCGACGGGCACGTTGATTAACCTCTCTGAGCCTCAGTTTCCTCATCTGCAAAATGGGAATGAGTAATGCTCCCTTAGTTCTAGGAAGATTCCTTGCAAAATGTTTACTTCTGTGCTTGGGGAACCAGAATGGACCCGAAGGGACTGGGCCCGGGCGGGGCGGGGCCGGGGGCGGGCCTGGCGGCCGGACCAGCGGGCCATGGACGAGTCCAGCCTCCTGAGGCGCCGAGGGCTCCAGGTGAGGCCCCTGCGAGGGTGGGCGGAAGGCGCGACAGAGTGGACGCGGCTCGGGTGCTGGGAGACCGCGGGGAAACTGAGGCAGGGGGCTTGGAGCGCTCAGATCGTTCCCTCTGTTCACCCCCTTCTCAAAGTGCTTTTCGCCTGGTTGGAAGGGGGTGGGGGGCGGTGGTCTCATCTGACGTATGGAGAAACTGAGGCTCCAAGCGAGAGCATGGGAGAAAGGGACTGAGGGCTCCGCCCCTCCCCACCAGCTGCTCTAATAATAATGCAACAACAGCAGCCTGAGAGCTCACCATATGTTCACGGTGTATTAGTCCTATTACTAGTGACACATTAATATTAATTAACACGTATTAATACCTGCCTCGGGTCGTTGCTGCGCCACCACCTCAGCTTACCCCTACCCTGCGGCGAGTCAGGGAGGTTGGGGCTGTCCAGGCGCGCATCTGTCAGATAAGGAAACTGAGGCTCCGGTCTGGGAAAGTCGCTAATCAGGTCTCCCAACCGGGATTCGAAGAGATGCTCTTAACCACCCCTCTTGGGGCACAAGCCTCCGCTGATTAGCTGTGTGACCTTAGGGGGGAGGGGCACCCCTGCTTCTCTGAGCCTCAGTTTCCCCATTCGCCATAAGGGTACCCCGTTTCTAACCTCTGGCATCGGGTTTGTGTTCGGGCTTTGGTTCGGTCGTGCACAAGGAGGTAAGAATGTGGTCGTCGTGGGGGCAACTCCTTTGGCTTCTCTGGGCCTCAGTTTCCCATCTGAGTTTTACATCGGTAAAATGGGAATTTAGAAAATCTGGCCGTTTCCCCCTTGGGCTTAGATCGCGCCCTTAGGAAGCCACCAGGTTTGCGGGTGGAGAACCTAGAATTCATTGTTTACCCAATGAACATGTATTTAGCACCTGCTGTGTGCTCGGCTCTGGAGAGGCAGCGGGCTGTTCCCCAACCTCTAGAGCCACCCTGCTGGACCTCCCAGCCTGCTGGGGGAGGCGGATGCGTGAGCAGCGGTGACCCCGCAGAGTGGTCAGCTCTGATAGGGACTCCCAGGCACGGCGCGGCGTGGAGGCACCAGCCCCAGTATGGCTGGGTGGCCTTGGGGCAGAGGAGGCAGCCGCGAGTGGCGGGCCATGGAGGAAGGGTATTTGGGGAAATGAAAGAGGCTGAGGACCGAGCAGGTGGGGTGGGGGTTGGGGGCCGAGGCTGGCGGGAC